AAAGAGAAAAATCATTTAAAGTATTCAGAGGGGGATAAAAAGACATACAGAAAAAGCAAAATAAGGATGAAAGCAGATTTGTCATCAGAAACAATGCAAGCAAAAAGACAGTGGGACAATATATTTTTTTTTTTTAATGGTCTCATACACACACACACACACACACACACACACACACACACACACACATGCACACGCATGCATGCAAACACATGTGCGTGAACACACACCCTTCTCACTCCAACTTCCTGTCCCTCCCTAGTCCTCAGAGGAGAAAGAGTAAAAGCTAAATCAAGTCTAGAATTTTGACTCCCATCTGGGACTAGTCCTCTAGGTACAGATTTGAGAAAATGTTGCAGCTTAAAGTGACTTTAGGACTTCTATTCCCCAAGAAGGAGTAAAAACTTCATTGAACCTGAGCAGTTTTCATCCTCTGCCAGTGGGAGGGATGCCCCACTGAATAGTATAAAGAATTACCAGAAAACAAAACTAAAGCTGCCTTTTGATCACTTTACTACTTGCGTTTGTCCAATATACCACTTAGGATTTCAACTATATCAACATCTGACTATTGTGCAAATGAAAACAATAGCTAGAATTGCTCAACAATTATTTTAATTCTTTTCTGTTTGGTTTTGGAATGTAATAGAAAGAATCATTGCAAGCCAATTTATCTTCTCAAGGGCAACTGGCTCCAACTCACACTGCAAGTTAAGTAAAATCTTAAAATTAGAGTGCTCATGTGAGGTGTTATTATTAATTGATGTGAATTTAAATTTGTTTATCTGTATTTTTCTATCCAGGGTCAGTAAAAGGTGATGAAATCCTTAGGTTCTGACAGCCTCATCCAGCAGCCTGGTGATCAAATGGCCATGCCCTATTGTCAGTGATCAGCAAACTTTCTTTAAAAGGTCAGGCCAAATAGTATAGGTTTTCCATACCATGTCTCTGTCACATATTCTTGTGTTTGTTTATTTAATATGTAAAACCTATTCTTAGCTCATACAAAAACATGTTAGGGCTGGGCACAGTGGAGCCTGTAATCCCAGCACTGTGGGAGGCTGAGGCGAAAGGACTGCCTAAGCCCAGGAGTTCAAGACCAGCTTGGGCAACATGGTAAGACTTCGTCTCTAAAATAAATAAATAAATAAATAAATAAAATAGCTAGGTTTAGTGGTATGCGCCTGTAGTCCCAGCTACTTGGAAGCCTGAGGCAGAAGGATTGCCTGAGCCCAGGAGGTTGAGGCTGCAGTGTCCATGAGTGTGCCAATGCACTCCAGCCTGGGTGACAGAGTGAGACTCTGACAAGCAAAAACAAATGAATAAAACAAAACATGCTAGAAGACTGGAATTAATCTATGCAGCATACTTTGCTGACGTTAATGTGTATAGAGTATATACCCTATACACCTGTGCAGACCATGATAGTAGCCACTAGCTATGTGCCATACAGCTGTTCAAATTTAATTTAAATGAAATAAAATTTGAAATTCAGTTCTTCAGTCATGCTAGCCACATTCAAGTACCCAGTAGCAACATTTAGCTACCACATCGGACAGCACAGGTATGGAGTGTGTCCATGTGCTCAAAGAGATCTATTGGACAGTGCTTCTCAAGACCCGTCTGGGGATGTCTGGGTTGAGAACTAGAACTGAGGTTTCACTGGTGAGACCAGAGTTGGAGAGAGATGAGGAAGGTAGAGGAAGACAGGGCAAAGGCCACTGCTCACATGTTGACGATGTTCTTGACATTGAAGTTCTCCAAGGGAGCCAGGTCAGGGTCCATGCCCCGCTCATCCTGAAGGACAATCTGCTGGAGGATGCGGTCCAGGAGCTGCCACTGCTGGAAGTAGCCACCGTTCCGTTTGTCTGAGGGATAACAGGCATGGACTCTTTACTGAGCTCTGAAGTCCCCTGGGGTCCTGCCCTAGAGTCACTGCCTGGGCTAGGGCTATGAGGCATGCCCCTCCCACCCATGGTAAGCACCCAGTCTGGTGGAAGAGGCAATGCTGTTGCTGATAATGGTGACTCACTAATTCAATCTCCTGATTATCTGATTGTCTAGGAATTTGTCAACTCCTCTCCACCCACCTGATCTGTTTTTCTACTCCCTGAAATGCCTTCTGCCTGCCTATCTTCCCTGTTTTGACCCTGGGCATACTATGCCCTGGGAATGCAGATCACTTTTTACATTATCTATAAAAAGCACCTGCTTCAAAATATTACATGCAGAATAATGAAGTCTCCAGGGAAATTTTTTTAAAAAGATTTTAGGATTATCTACACTTTTGCTCAGCAGAAAAAGATGAATGGAACCTGATAACAGGTGTGCCCTGAGAGAGACTAAAATGGGTTAGAGGAGTGCATAATGGAATCCGAGAAGACTTCTTGTGGAGGTCACCTTGAACTATGAAGGCAAAGGCATTGTGTGTTGTGCATGATCTCATGAGTCTCCACTCTCATCCCCTCTAATGCAGTCGGGATGGATACGGACTTCCTTTTTGTGTGACAGCTACAAGCTCTCCTTCCTTGGTCCTTGATCCCAAGCACTTCATCTCTAGTGACCAGCAGTGCAATTCTAACATCAAAGTCAAACTGTAATGCCCACTGGGTAGAAGATCATGTCTTGCAATGTCTCATTTTGAGGCAGAATACAAGGACCCATTCACATTATCCATGGAACAGCAAACACAGGAATCCTGGGAGCTAAAGAAGTCATATTTCCAGGGACTTCCATGTTTTTCATGAAGACCTTTGGGCTGAGTCTTGGAAAACGGATAGTTTCTTGGACCAGGTCACTGCGTCTATCCTTTCTATCACTTTACAGACACATGAATCTCAAGGTGACATAGTTTTTCTCTTACCTTTCACCCAGGAAGACAGTATAGAGCCAGGTCACTGGCTCACAGAGGTAAAACATGTTTTTGGGGGGTTTTTTTGAGTTGGAGTCTCACTCTGTCGCCTAGACTGGAGTGCAGTGGCCGCTCCCGGCTACCGCAGCCTCGACCTGCTGGGCTCCAGCGATCCTTCCGCCTCAGCCTTCCAAGTAGCTGGAACTACAGGTGCACACTACCACACCCGGCTAATTTCTGATTTATTTAGAGATGAGTTCTCGCCAAGTTGCCCAGGTGGGTCTCGAACCCGCAGGCTCAGGCAATCCACTCACCTCAGCCTCCCAAAGGCACGGGATTATAGGCTGAGCCACCGAGCCTGACTGTAAAACATGTTTTATCTCAATCCTTAACCCCAAAGAAATATACATCCCTTCTATAAATAAGAATTTGTTCAGCCTCAGGTTAACTCGTTGTAAACTAGAGATAAGGTACACTCCTTGGGTCATTCTGAGGTTTAGAGATAATGCACTAATGGACTTCACATCATGTCTGGCCTAGAGTTGGCACGTAATAAATCGTAGTTGTCACCATCACCATGATAACCAATACCGCCAGCACCCCTACTAAGGAGAGTCTGGCTGGGTTGCCCATTATGATGGGCTACACTAGTTTTCATAATATTCTCTTTTGTGAGGAACTTAAGTACCAAATGTTACAGTTAAAGCTCATTTCAAATTGCATCCTGGAGAGGCTATTAGCAATTATGTATAATTTATTCAATCACTGTGCACACCTGAATCTTAAGAATTTAGCTGACTGCTCTGATAGATGCTGACAATTTGGTATTTGTAGGGAGAGGCAGGGGCAAGGGTGTTAGAGTGGAAGCCAGGGAGAATTAGATGGATGAGTTGATAAAAACTTAAAAAAAAAAAAAAAAGCGACTGGGCGCAGTGGCTTAAGCCTGTAATTCTAGCACTTTGGGAGGCCAAGGTGAGGGGATTGCCTGAGCCCACGGGTTCAAGAAGAGCCCAGGCAACTTGGCAAGACCTCATCTCTACAATAAATAAAAAAATAAGCTGGGTGTGGTAGCCCATGCCTGTAGTTTTGGCTACTTAGAAGACTAAGGCAGAAGGATCGCCTGAGCCCAGCAGGTCAACAATGGGGTGACCACGAGCATGCCACTGCACTCCAGTCTGGGCGAATGAGTGAGACTCCAACTCAAAAAAAACATGCTCATTCCACATCCATCTCTGCACACACTCCCTCATGCACAGAGTTTTTTTTGAAACTCCCCAAGAGGACTGATCACTCCCTGACATGAGCTGACAGCCAGAGCTGTTTGATTCCACAGTGATCAAGCTACTGCTTGTGGGACTAGGATGTTGGAGATACTCAGAGCCAAGTTCCCAGCTCCCTCTCTGGGTGTCAGTGGAAGTCCTGACCCCTGGAGGGAGGGAGAAGCAGGGCCCCAGTCACAGGATCTGGCCTCCTGAGGGCGACTGCAGAGGGAGATGTGATCAGACCCCTCAACCCAGGGAGGTCTAGAAGCCTTGTCTCCACCTGCCCCGAGGTCCAGCTGAGGGAAGCAGCCAGTACAGGGCACTCACAGGGCATCTGCAGGCAGTGGTGCAGGACAGAGAGCAGGCAGGGATAAGCCTCGGTGTGCTTCAGCTTCCTGTGGATCAGCTCGAACATCTGGGTGGCACTCTTAGTGTCGATGTGGACCTGGGGGAGAGGAAGGCACAGTGAATAGAAAGGGGAAGACAGCAACAGAAGCGACCAGGGGGAGAGAAGTCCCTGTTTCCACCCACCAAGCTCCATCTCCCAGGAGAGCTGTTCTTCCCCTGCTTCTGGCTCAGGCTTAAAAAGAGAGAGACAGACAGAGAAAAGGAGGAGGGGGATATGTTCATTACATAAACTAGGGTTTCTCAGTCTCAGCACTGTTGGCATCTTAGGCCAGATAATTCTTTGTTGTGGGGGCTGCCCTGTGCATTGTAGGAGTTTCAGCAGCATCCCTGACCTCTACCTATCAAATGCCAGTGGTACTACCTCATACCAGTTGTGACAACTACAAACGTCTCCGGATATTGCAAATGGGCTCCGGGGAAGAGGAGCATAAAATCGCCCCCATTGAGAACTAGTAACCCAAACTAAGAGAAGGAAGCAGGGGTACAGATGATTTGAAGTAGCAGGTGGCATCGGTCCACCACCTGGTTCAAACCCCAGCTCTACTCTCTAGTTGCATGACAACAGGCAAGCTGCTTATCCTCTCTAACCTTGTTTCTTTATCTGTAAATCCAGATTTTGTGAAAATATAAGGGATGGCACTTGGTGACTATCAAGTGCCACCCAAAAGTTGGTTTCTATGTGGTTATGGATTTTATAATTCAATGTTTAAGCTGCAGAGCTGTGTGTTTTCAGGGTTTCCAAGGCAGAAAAGAAAATACAGTTTGGTTTTCTAAGCATGACCTGGTTAGGGATAGGGAGAGGTGATTCAGAAAATGCTGGAAGGCAGGAAAAAATCAGCTCAGGAGAAGTATTTGAGACTAATCACATGCATGAAGTTGATCTCTTTCCTTTGGAAATTTCAGTCTTCTCCAGGGCAGATGCCCTACCAGGATGGCCCACCAGAGTCACCATAGTACCAGGGCTCCAGAAATGGGATGTGACGGTTAATTTCATATGTCAACTTGACTGGATTGAGATTGAGGGATACCCAGATAGCTGTAAAGCATTATTTCTGGGTGTGTCTGTGAGGGTGTTCTGGAAGAGACTGGAATTTCAATCAGTGGGCTGAGTAAGGAAGATCTACCCTCACCCACTGTGGACAGTCACCATCCAATCCACTGAGAACCTGGACAGAACAAAAAGGCAGAGGAAAACTAAATTCTATCTTTTCCAGAAATGGAACACCCTTCTTCTACTCTGGTTCTGTAGCTTGCAGATGGCCTATGATGGGACTCCTCAGCCTTTATTACTGTGTGAGTCAATTCCTCTATTGAGTGTCCCTCATAATCTGTATCTATATATGCCATTGGCTCTGTCTGGAGAACTCTAGCACACAGGACCTAGCCATGAGGGTGCCCACCAGGGCACCCGGCCTACACTGGCTCTACGGCAGCACAGGGTCTGGAGAAGTGGCCTCCTGGAACCCTACTGCAATCATTCCACCCCATGGGCTTCTCACCATGTCAAACCTCCTGGCTAGCTCCAGATCATCCTCATTCCGGACCATCTCGAAGAAGTCTAAATGCCTGGATAGGATGGGGGACAGATAGAGTGAACGTTATGCTCAGAACACCTCTGGTTGAGGATTATAACCCCTTCAACTTCCCTCCTCCCCCCGACCACTGGCTAAATCTAGAAGCTTTTATTTAGGTGAGGCTAAGGCCACTGCCTGTAGGCCCACACTCCCTCTTCCTTTATAAGATGACCCTCCTTCAGGGTCCCTCAGATTGGGTTTCTCAACTTCGGCACTATTGACATTCTAGGCTCAATTATCCTTGGCTATGGGAGGCTGATCTGTGCATTGTAGGATGTTTAGCAACATCCCTGGCCTCTACCCACTAGATGTGAGTAGCACCCCCTAGTGTGACAAACAAAAAATGTCTTCAGGCATTGCCCATGTCTCCTGGGAGATAAAAATCCCTCTCAGTCAAGGACCACAGCCCTGCATCTATCTTCCTCAGTATTCTCATTCTGTCCCCAAGTCAGCCCTCAAAACTAATCTCTCCCTCATTTTCTACCCCCATTCACACACCCACCTACACCACCTCAGAAGGATCCATTCTCTCTCCCTAAAAACCCAGTGTCAAAAAATAACTTGTATTAATGGAACAGGACCAGAGGGGCCTCACTGGTATTATGTGGGAATTATATTGTATCCTTTGATCAACAAAGGCTTTATAGAGTGCATTTATATGGGGCATTTATTTCTTTGTTGGGCAGGACAGCACTAGACATTTATCATTCTTCCAGACTCCCAAAAACCAATACCTGTATTGCCCCACCAACCAGTTTGAAAACCAAAGAAGACTCCTACCTAATTCCAAATGTCCCCCAGAGAGGCAGTACTGCCATGCTTGGGGACTAGGGGTTCACCTGTCTATACCTTCAGAGATGAGATAAGCAGGTCAGCTAAGAGGACAGGCGGGGCAGACATACCCCCCACAGAACTGATTCTGAATCTATGTTGAGTATGGCAGGTGGCCTCCAGTGGAAAGGGCAGCCTTCACAAAGGTCCTGACCATCCCCAACTGAGGTACTGTCCCCACAGTTTGCATTGGGGACAGGTGACTTGGGCCTTACTTGTCCAGGATGGCATTCTCATGTTGCCGGAGTTTGTCAATCACAGGCTGTATTCCCAGCATCAGGAACTCATACCGTAGATGTAGGCGGAACTCCAGATTATCCTGGGGGTCACCAAAGGAGGGCCAGACTCATTGGCTGGTCTCATTTCTACAACAGTCCCAGTGGAGCCCTCATCACCACCCCAGCCACAGTTTCAGTACATCTCCTGCAACAAACTCACCCGGATCTGCTTCAAGTCTCACAGTTCTAAGAAGTGAGCGAGAGACATCCTTTGACCTTATTATTTCTCTAAAGCAAGTTCACTGCCTAGCTTCTCTCTATGTCTCCTGCCTCACGTCCTTCAAGCCCCTTACCAGTATTTTCTAGTCTTCAGCAGTATTGCAAAAGGATATGGAGCTCAAGCTTTAGAGCCAGATGGGTCTCGGTTCAGATCCCTGCTCTGCCACCTACTAATTCTGTGACTTTGGGAAAGCTTTAGTTTCTCCATTTATAAAATGAGCATAATGTGACTCACCTACAGGGATAATAGTGTTTGTAAAAATCGCCTGATGAGGTATGGTCACCAACCCATCAGAGTAGATGTTAGCCATGAACAGCTGATGCTGACCAACAGTGATGTCAGCATCTTAGGGACAGATTGTGCCCCAATCCACCTCACCTAACCCAGGTCATCAACACTACATACAGAAAAAAGCATGCTGGTAGAAAAGAGGGAAAGAAGAGATTATTAAATTGCCCCTTATTCCCCTTGCCCAGGGCAACTGATTGCCTTAGAATTTGAGTTCACCTGTCTTCAAGTTCTTCTAATGCTGTTATTTTTATTTTATTCTGAGAATCCCATTCTGACTCCCAAGGAAGGGAAACCAGAAGCCAAACCTTCCAACAGAAGGAGTTTAAAGAGCACTAGCCAACCAGAAGCCAGTCTACAATCAGGTCTCTAGAAATAAGGGCCCCAGTTCACCCTCCTTCCATCAGTGATTCCACCATCACTAGCCAGCCTAGCTCAAGGTCTGCCCAAGACACACACAGGGCATGATGCAACCTATGTAGGAAACTCCCAGGGGCACTCCCAGGTTTCGACAAAATCAAAAAGAATTGTGTGGGGAAGTAAAGCCAGAATTCGTCCTCACCACAATTCTGAAGAACCACAGATGAGATAGACTGTGGGTTACATTCAGTCTCCTCTAACATGGCGCTGCCCTGGTGACAGTAAGGTTGGTGACATTCTGCTCGTTGATGGCCCCAAATGAAGGAGGTAAGAGGTTATAAAGATAATTTGAAGACAAAGATGGTAGTGGCAGCCACACCAATCAGGTGCCTGGGCCCCTCCCCTCGGCCACTTCCCCAGCAATCACTCACACCGACACTCTGCCCCAGGTCCAGAAAGTCAGGAGCAGTGAGGGCAAGGAGAAACCTCACCTCTCCCGCTCCAGCATTGAGGACAGCGTTGATGAAGGACATAATGGCTGTTTTCAGGTTCACTTCATCCCGGTATCGGCCCAAACTTCGGTCTAGTTCGTTTAGCAGTGTCTGGGTGGAAAGGTAGGACAAAGTAGGAGAGGAGAGCTCAGCATCCTACAAGTACTGCCTCTGAGCCTTTGCTCCTGCTGTTCCCACTACCTGGAGTCCCCATCCGTTCTCTCTACTCCGTTTTGTCTGTCCAATTTGAATCGGACTGCCCCAGACCTCATCTCACCTAGAAGCAAATTTTGCCTCACAACTCCCTGTTTCAGTACCTCCAGACTTGTTCTCCACTCAGCCTTTGGGGCTTGGTATATACTGCTGAGCAGGGCTGCTTTTCAATTGTGCTCCAACTGTTTATAGCTCCTATCTATTTCCTGTCCAAATCCTTGATGGCATGGACACTGCTTTTGGACCCTTTTGCATCTTCTACAAAGAGTCAGAAGTCACTTTCTGCACAGAGTAGGTGCCCAAAAATGTGTGACTACAGAATAAACAAATAGCCTATCCTGGCCAAAAAATGTAAGAGTCTGTAACATCAGTTCACATCTATTGAGATTTACTCTTCGCCAGGCAGTGTGCTAGGACACTTTATACTTATTATCTATCTCACCGGTACTCTTCTGGACAGGTTAGGAAAAGAAAAGAGAATAGCATGGCCTGAGCTCCCAGGGCCAGTCCCAGTGTTCCCACATTAAGCACTAGCCCAGGAATAGGGCCTAAAATATTGACCACAGCAATTTTACTCAGTTCAGCAATTCTTTTTTTTTTATTTACACATTTATTTATTTTTGCTCCACTAATTTTTCATATAGGCTCTGGGGAGATTTATACAATAGGACTGAAAAGATAACAATAGCAATAATTGAAATATAACAGAAAAAAGGTAATGGGTGAGTAGAAGACAGCCCTGACGGCTGCATGTGATGTATACTTTAGGAGACTCCCCAGATCTTTCCCAAGGTGTACTCTTTTCCACGGGCAACAGCTAATTAACTGATTCAGAGTAAGGCAGCAGTTCAGCAATTCTTGACTGAGTCCCTATCGTGAGCCTGAGCTCAGAGATGTAGAACCACAAAAATAAAGAAGGCCAATATTCCTGCCTAATGAGGAGGAGAGCCCATTTCCAAGCCACATCCATAACTCTTAAGGCCCTTCATGTGTTTTTATGCAGGCCCTCTGGGTCCCAGTACTCTCTGCCTGTTACCTTCCAGAAGCAGGCTTGCAGCTCACAGTACAACCCCATCCTCCCACTTTCTGCTACAAAGAATCCTCAGGCCCACACTCCCAAGATAAGTCAACCCTGTTCTAACCCACTGAGGCTACACCCTCGGCCACTCAGCTAGGCTCCTCACCTGAAAGCGCGTTCGCTCCGCTGCGTACACCTGGTAGTGCAGCATGGCCTGCAGCACTTTCTTGTGGCCACCAGGCACCAGGCACACGGCACCCAGGATCTCCAGCACTGCCACCTTAGTCTTGCTGTTCTCTGTGCGCAGGCTCTGGGCAATGGTGCTGATGGCCTCCGGCTGCGCTAGCACATGCGCCCGCCCCTGGGAGTTGTTCATCAGAGCCTTGATGCAGCCAATGAGGGAGGTGTGTATGCGGCTCTCACAGGTGGCGTGGTCCATGCTCCGGAGGAAATTCAACAGACAGGTCAAGCCCTCCAGTTCAATGAAGCGTGTCACAAACCTACCAGATAGAGCCATTAGCAAATAAGGGATGCTCTTTTTGCATGATTCCATGTACATTTTACAAAAGTTATCCCATTACCTGTGTACTACCATGTACCTTGTCCCATCTATTGCTATGCTTGATTTAAAGTTTATCCAAAGCACTACAATCCTACTACCCTCACAGAAGAACTCACATCTTATTTGCATTTTAAATACCATCATTTGCATATCATTGACAGTTGCATAACTAAAATGGTATGTATATGAAGGTAATAATCATAATTATTACAGCTGTTAAACCTGAAGACTCCTCTCCTTTGGGGATGGGAATTAAGAGAATTGCAGTCAAAACAAAGAGAATTTCCTAAAAGAGAGGTCATCAGACTCACTGAGTCAAAAGATCAAAGCCGGGAAGCTACATTTCAAGGGATCCTTAAGAAAACAGCAGAGTTATCTTGAATGTTAGCAGGAAACATTAACGCTCACTTAGTCCAGGGTTCTTAACTTGGAATCTGTGCTCTCTAAGGGGTCTAAGGGGTCTATAAATAGCATTCAGGGATCCCAAAACTTGAATGAGAAAAGAAAATGGCATTTTTTTGGTAACCTCTAACTAAAATTTAGCATTTTCCTCAAAATGAGTGTTAGGTAATAAATGACAGTAGTATTTGCACAATCTGTGACTCTGTCACCCAAGGAAATCATGGCTATTTTCATATCAAATTACAGTTGTGGAAGTTATCACAAAATACCATTTATACTTACCAGCATTGCAAAATTATGATGGTTATTAGGCTTGCTTTTAGCACTTGCTATTTAAGATGTAAAGAAGCACAATTTATTATCATCTCACTCATTTTCAATATTTGGTAGCTGTATTTTAATTTAATTGATTTGTTTTTAGTTCTTTCTTTTTAATCTATTTTACTTTATTACTTAAAACATAATTCCCAAGAAGCATTCTATAGGTTTCATCTGTCAGTTCCCATGGCGTGCACACACATAAGGTTTAGAACCTTTGATTTAGTAGAATAATAATTAATGAACTAAGGGAACTGCTATAAATAATTACTACATGTTACCCAAGTGTAGTGTGTGCATTTTGTACTGTTATACAAATGCATCTAGAGCCACAGAAGAATATGCTCTTGAATTAAGTTGTTAACAACAGATATTTCTAACTATTTTCTATTATAGGCTTTTCTGTCATCCATAAAATTTCCACAATCATGATATGTAACTTTTGTAATCAAATGTTATTAAGGGAAGTTAAGGACAACCCTCTTTCAGGACCCCTCCCACTGCCAGGGGCTTTCCTATCTCCTAATAAATTCTTACTTACTCACACACAAACACACACACAAAAAGGGAAGTTGAAATAAACTGAGGCAGGAGACAAGCCTGGCAACCTCTCTCAGCTCTTTATTTCCAGACCACCTCATCCTTCCCTTCATCCCTTTCCCAGAGCCCCACCTCAGCAGAGCGGCAAGGGATGAGGATGCTCCCATTTCCCTTGAGGCTTTGTTTCTGAGCTCAGCCCAGATAAAACACATACACACACACACACACACACACACACACACACACACACACACACACACACACACACACACCAGCTAGTAAATGACTAACTAGCTTTTTAGGGGAGAAAAAAGGCCTGATTGTAGTGTTTGCTCTTTCCATGATATAAATACTCCTAGCATAGCCAATTTCAAGCTACCGATGTGATGTCATTGCATGTGGAGTTTGAAAGAGAAGCATGTTAAATAGTGTTTCTACCATGAATACACAATGGGTATAAACTCAAAAATATACATTATAGTAACATGCAGAAAAATAAGTAATTAGAAAGTGATGAATTTCAATATTTGTTAGCTTTGTTTTGATATAATGTATTTAATCTCAAGTTTATATAGGCTAAACCTATATAAGCTATGTTGAACAACCAGCTTACAAAATTACTGAGAATTGGGGGAGGGGAAGGAGTCCAATGGCTTTGGGACACCCATCCCCTTTTCTTTGCCTGCAAATCCCATCTCGAAGACACCACATCTTCCCCTAGTAGTTGGAGTATTTCTCAACACCTCACCTCCTTCCTGGCTGGGGCACTCAGCCTGCCCCTCATTTCAGCCAACTCTCATACACCTGGTCAATTTGGCCACCCTCCTGTTCTAGTTCCCTCTACTCCAAAAACCCAAAGTATTTGCCCTCAATTCCTCTAGAGAGCTCCCCAGGACCTGAGGTTTATCCCACGTTCCTGTGTCCATCTCCCTTTCTCCCCAAATGCTCACCTCCTGGCAGTCTCCCAGGAGTAGAAACCGAGAAGTGAAGTGGGTGAGGTAGATTCTAGGGAATGCTGGGGAGGGGAGTTGGCCAAGTGGACCAGCGTGGGAGCAGAACACTTCAGGGGGCTTTTGGAAGTCTAGGGGACCAACTGGTGACAGGACGAGACAGGAGGTGAGGGGGCTTGAGGGGAAGGGTGAAGTAAGTCACCTCATGGGCTGTGTCCGGAGAGCTGTCTTCAGGTCTTCCACAACTTGGTTCCTCATCTCTGTCTCCTCCTCATCAAATGCATACAGACTCTGCATCTGAGGGACCGGCAGGCAGAAGAGGACAGAGGTCACTGGGCTGCCTGTCTCCCAGCTACCTACACCCCCAGCCCAGGTGTGACCCAGGGGCCACCCTTGCCTCTGAAAGCATGAGGCCTCAGGGAATGAGGGAGTGGTTTAGTAAGACAGAGTGTCAGACTCTGAGAAGATCCAGGTCCTGGGCCTGGATTTCACTTTTCTCATCTGTGAAATGGGGAGAATGTATTGGGCCAGCCTATTTCCCAAGTCTGTGAGATGTCCACATGGGTTAATAAATGTTGAAATATTTGGAGTCCACGTGGGACTCCAAAGTTGCACAGAGGAGGGGTGCATTGTGATAAAATGTTGAGAATAACTGGAAAGCTGCTGAATCCCAGTGAGTGGGGCATTAAGGAGTGGGAAGAGGCAGTTTGGTGGGGGGGGCAGGGTCTGAAGGGGTCATTCTCAGCCATAGTCTTTTTAGGTGGGGACAGGCCAGGAAAAAGGCAGCCACTTACCGCAGCCATGGAGTTGATGCGGTCGATGTAATAGTCAGGCCAGCTGGTGGCCAACTTGTTGGGATCCTCCTGCTCCTGGAATAAGAAAAAAAACAGTCTGGACCAAGCAGCAAGACAGGCCCATGGCCTGAGACCCTGAGCTTCATCCTATGATGGCAGAGGGACTTATCTCCTAGCCCTGCCGTATGGGGTAACTTGGAGGAATTTATTAAATCTCCCAGGCTCCCACTTCCCCTTTGGTAAAATGTGGATAAGGAACGGACATTGACTCTCACGTCCAGCCAATTACAAGAGCAGAAAGTCTGCCAGAGTATTATGTACTCTCCATGATCAACAGGTACAATTTTTAAAAAATTATTATTTCCCGTCACAGTTGCTCTGCCTGTGTTTAGTAAAATATAATTTGGTAACTGTTGAACCAAACACACATTCATGCTTATATTTTGTACAGCTTATTTTATTTTTCTGATAATCTCATTCTCTTGTTTTTCAGAAGTATTGGTCTGTGATGGTTTGGAAGTATAAAAACTTAGTCTTTCTCTCAGTTTGAGAACACCGATGGAAAGCATGTGGTGCAGTGTCTAGCACATGGTAGGTGCTCAATAAATAGTACCTTTGTGAAAAGAGAGAAAAAGAGACTCCCAAGGTCTCAGGTTTTAGAAAGACTCTGGAGTCCCTCACAGGCCTGTGATTTAATTACTGACAAACTTTCCTGAATGCGGGGGTGTACAGCTGGGAGGCAGAGCCCTGAGGACCTTTGTCCCAGTGCTCAGCTCCCAAGAGAAAGGTTCAACTCCTCCCCAAGTGTGGGCAAGAATGACGAGAGTTAGAGAAATATTAACGTAGGCTGAAAATCCAGCCTTCTCCATCCAAATGGAACTGCTTCTAGGCATCACACACATCCTATGCATTCTTCTCTGTGCCCTGGTCACTTTGGATGCTTCCTACAATACTTTCTCCTCTCTCCTGCTTCCAAATTGGCATGAAAACTTAACCTCCTGCAGCCCCTCCCTGAGGGCCCACCTCTCTGCCAGCTGCCAACTGGCTCTGTCTGCATCCCTCAGCCCTGTGCACTCGATCTTCACCGTTTTGTTTCATAAAACCCAAATTATAGACCAGCGGGAGAGCTGCTTTGTTTTTGGTCCTTATGACTTCACATGGCTATATGTGTTTAATTCTTCATGACCGAAGGCCAAGCATTCTGTCTTTTGCCTTGGGGAGGGGAATCTCGCCACCAAAAACAATTTCATCAGCAAGCACATCCTTCCCTGCATTGGTATTGAGTAGGTACTCATTAAGTGCACACGGATTGGATAAATCATCATTTATCCAATCCTCTAAGTGTATACGGTCAGTGTGGCCCAGTGTGGCGCCTTGGAGATGGAACTAACGTCTTGAGCAGGAAGAGTAAGAGAAGAGCCATAAAGAGTAAGAGAAGAGCCATAGAAACACAGAGGAGAAAGAGCTCAGACCCTGCCTAGACCCAGGAGGGAGGAGGCTTAAGCCTCAGGCATAGGAATAACCAGGATCTGATCCCTATATACCCTTACTCAGGGCAGAGGAACAAGCTGTGACTCCTAAGTCTAAAAAGTGGGAGGGTGGAAAGGAGAGAGGGAAGATGGGCCAAGAGAAGAAAAATCAAGAGTAAAAGAAATAAGCTAAAATAGAAAGGGGGCAAGAGGGAGACAGAGAAAGAGATGAACAGAAGAAACACTGAGATAGAGACAGAGGAAGAATTATCAGTGACTTGGGAAGCAGAGAGCAGAGATAAAACCCAGTTAAGCCCTGACTGGAGCCCGGCACTCTCCTTTCTAGGGAAGGCCATGATCAGGATACCAGAACCAGCTTTTTTTTTTTTTTTGAGTAGGAGTCTCACTCTGTCACCCAGACTGGAGTGCCGTGGCCGCTCCCGGCCACTGTAGCCTCGAC